AAAAGTTTTTATAGTATTTAAAAAAAAAAAAAAAAAGGCATAAAAGATCCTCAGGGCGATTTTTAAAATATTATAAGCACATGTTAAAACTTACGCTACAAAAAGGAGCAATACGAGAACAAGAACTGGCAATACTAAACAAAGTCAAACACGCGAGCAGATGAAGCTAAGGATGGCGCAGGAGCTCTCCCGGGCAGACAGACGTACGCGGGCAGAGAGGCGGGCTGAAGCCGGCGCCCGCGTCCGCCCGAGGCCGGTCCGGGCTGCACCGAGCAAGGGCGGGCGCGGGCAGCTCGCACACACTCGAGTTTTCCTTTTCAAAGCGACGATCAACCACCATCCAAAGTGGACGACGCCCCGTGGGCCCGACAGCACTGCTCGGGTCTGCAGCGACCGCTGCTCCGGTGACCGAATCGCGCGTTCGGGTTGACAGCCAGCCTAACAAGCCGCGGACACCACGCCGCTGGGGACTGGGAAGCGGGAGCGAGAGGGACACAGGCAGAGGCCGCAGTCCGCGGGAGAGCGGCGCGGGGCAGGGGCGGCGAAGCGCGCCCGGACCTGCCCGCCCGAGTCCCAGACTCAGTGGTAACGCGAGTCCGGCCGGCCCGGGGCCGCCGGGTGACTGGACACGGAGGGGACTGGACCAATTAACGGCGTTCCGCAGCTTCCCAGAGATTCCGCCGCGCACCCGGGACCACGAGCGGCCGTGGGCACCCACCTTCCTGGGCTCCATCCGGCTCGCAGGCGCGGCCGGGGCGCCGAGGCCCGCGGCCTGGGATCCTCCGCGGGGAGCGTCACCAACTCCTAGCAACCAGCGGGCGCGAGCAACCCGGAGCCCAGCGGCCGTTGGCCCGGCATGCCCCGCGGCCTCTCCTAGTGCGTCTGCGCGTTCCCGACTCCTAGCAACCGGAGGCGCGAGCAGCCGAGAGCCGAGCTACCGCTGGCCCGGCATGCCCCGCGGCCTCCCCTGGCGCGCCCGCGTGTCCCCGACTCCTAGCAACCGGCAGGCAGGAGCGGCGGAGGGCCGAGCGATCGCTGGCTTGGGACTTCCCTGGGCCCCAAAGGAAGGGGCGCTGAAGGAGGCTGGCGAAGTCGGGGGTCCCCGCGTGTGGGGTGGCCGGCGGTGCAGCACTCGGTGCGTGAACGGAGCTGGATTGGCCCCGCTGTGGGGCCGGCAGGAGCGGACCTAAAGAGAAAAAGGAGGCAGGGCAGCCGGGTAACTGGCTCCACTTAGCCTGGTGGCACCTGGCTGGGCAGAGGCCCCCACCTGGCTCTTGGAAAGGTGGGGTGACCAGGCGGTGAAACAGTGTCAGACCGCGCAGATTTTCCCTCGGTGATTGGAAAGGGCTTTTCATCTGTATAAGACTTTGCACTTTACAGATCATTTCCCCGTTTGTTGTTGTTTGATAAAACACACCTGTTGGAATGGAGGTATCGATGCACTTGAAAAAGCAGTCGTTGAAAGGACTGTTCTGGCCACCATGGCCAGAAGAATATACCTAAGGANTTGAAAGAACTGTTCTGACCACCATGGCCGGAAGAATATACCTAAGGAACAAACAGTAAAGGTAGAACAAGATCTCTACTNGTTGAAAGGACTGTTCTGGCCACCATGGCCAGAAGAATATACCTAAGGAACAAACAGTAAAGGTAGAACAAGATCTCTACTGTATAGGACAAGCCCGACAAGCTAGCCCAATAATTACCCCCCCTCCCCCAGTTCCCATAGAAAGAACAAACCAGTCACACTCCAGCCAAGCATAACCCCATTACTCATTATAAAACATTGTGTTTAAGTCATTCCTTTTGTGTTGCTAAAGGTCCCCCCTTGTTTCCTATACCAAAAACTGACAGCCTGACAAATTATTGGAAACCCCTTTACTGCATTGCCTTTGTGGTTACTGAGCATAGAGTAAGAGAAGAACTGAGGGTCGGGGCTGCAGTTCGGCTCTTACACGGGTGAGATGCCACAACTGTAGCTGGTGGCCAGCTAATAAAGGCTCCAAAATTCAAACACAAACTCTAGTGGTCATCTGTTGCAGGTCACCCCAGAACAAGGATGACTTTTCATGTGACACGGGATGAGTGCGACCCCACGGCAGTTGAGCATCGACCTATGATCCAGGAGATCCCGGTTCAATTCCCACTCAGGGCACACGCCCGGGTTGCTGCTCGCCCCTCAGGAGGCAGCCGATCAATGACTCTCATTATTGATGTTTCTCTCTCCCTCTCCTTTCCTCTTTCTGAAGTCAATAAAGACATATTTTTTTTTAAAAAAAGGAGAAGAGAGCTGAATCATGAAGACAAATGTTCTGCGTCTCAGGTGTATTTTATCATGTGCAGGATGGATCGGTGCAAGTCCCATTCCAGTGAGGCACCACTAACTTACACTCAGCTGTTCCCAAACACTGTTTTGCATTTTAGTATGCAAATGATGCTTAGAAAAGATTACACTTAGAAAAGATTACACTCAAAGTTTTCACACACAGAAAGTGTAAATTCTTAAATCATGTTTTAAGCAATGCATCAGTCTGTTCTTTTGATACAAAATTTATTTTTCAGACAGTGTACTTTTGAGTCACATACTATTATGAACCAGTTTACAGTTTTATGGTTCCATCTATGTGTTCCAGATACAAAGGCCATTTACTCAGCTCCTTACCTTAAAGAAATTAACATCCAGAAAACCTTTTTTATTTAATTATACTCCGGTTTTGAACATATTACTCCTACCTTTTTCATTTCCACTCATCAGCACTTAGGAAGAACATAAAAGTTAGGAAAGTTTCCCTGGCTGGTGTGGTTAGAGTGTCGGTCTGCACACTAAAGGGTTGCAGGTTGGATTCTGGTCAAGGGCACATACCTGGGTTGCATATCCGATCCCTTGCCCCAGTCTGGGTGCGTGCAGGAGGCAACCAATCGATATTTCTCACATCAATATTTCTCTCCCCCCGCCCCAGTCCCTTCCGTTCTCTCTAAAAATCAATGGGAAAAATATCCTCAGGTGAGGATTAACTAAAAATAAAATAAAATAAAATAAAATAAAATAAAATAAAATAAAATAAAATAAAATAAAATAAAATAAAATAAAATAAAATAGACTAGAATAGAATAAAATAAAAAAATAAAATAAAATACTAGTGAGAACCTAAGAACTGAACGGGGCCTGTTATTAGACTCGGTGCACATGTGCTCTACCATGCTGGTATGACCAAATACAGGGAAATGGGCTCACAAAGGCAGCTGAGGCTGGGAGGCTGATTGAGGTACCACACAGACACGTCTCTTTAATGTATTTTACATCCCTAGGCCTCCAGGTCAAATACTTTTATCTTGGACATGCAGGATTTCTTATGCGGTTTGTGTTCACACAAGTCTTTATAAGATGTGATTTTGCAGCTCTTTAGAGGAAAGGCTCATGCTCCTTCCTGTGTTTACAAGGCAATTACTTTGCACGTCATAACTTAGTCATGAGTGGAGGGTGGCATTTGAGCATTAAGCTGTTGCATAGGAAGAGGGTTGAGACTCACCATTTTATATATAGCAGTGAGAAAAAGTAGGTTTACAATTGTTTATAAGGAAAATGATACAATAATTGATAAATAATACAAGAACAAACTCTGTCTTGTGTACTTACGAGGGTAAACCTACTATTGCCCACCCCTGTATTTACAGCTTACATAATGTAATTTGGTGAAGAGCAAAAAAGGGAAAACCACTTCCTTTGAGATTTAGTGCCCTCCACCGAAGTTGAGTGTTTTAGACCCTAGAGCAAGGTTTTTGAGAGATATGTATGTGTCTCCATAGCAACACACACACGCATACATTATTACCTACAGACTCACAGATGAGGGCAAGACAGGTGTGTTTGTTCATTCCGCACCTGCCTTGCCAGGCACTGTGCCAGCCGGATGATATGCTGATAAAACCAGTAAATGTGGTTCTTGCCCTCAAGGAACTTAAAGCCTAGTGGAATTACTAACGAGACTGGCAAAGCCACCAGCGCATGCCCCTGCTTCGCCCACCCCAAAGTCCGTGTTAGTAAGTCTGAGTGCTCCAGTCTAACAGGGCAGATTGCAGCTTAGTCATTTTTTAAATCCTCGCCTGAGGGTATTTTTCTCCCTTTGATTTTTAGAGAGAGTGGGAGAGAGGGAAGAGGGGGCAGAGAGACACACACATTGATTGGTTGCCTCCTGCAACCGAGGTATTGCGCTTGACCAGGACTGGAACCCGTGACCCCCCCGCCCAGGGCTGACGCCCAGCCCCTGAGCGCGGCGGCCGCGCTGCAGCTCCATCCCGCGCCCGCGGTCCTCTCCCTCCCGCCCAGCAACGGGGGCTGCGCGGACCCGCTCTGTCC